TTTCATCTGTTCTACATATAAGAAAACAACATCTTAGGACAATGACTTGTCCAATTGCAAGTGTCTACTTTCCCCCAGAAATGAAGAAGTAGCATGTGATATCTGTAGTAGATGAACTCATATTGCCCAGACTGAGCATTTCTAAAACTTCTAGATGCACACTCCTCTCGATAGGTATACTTGGGCTCTCCTTGATAGCTCTCCAGTGCTTGTTCTCCATGCCGTAGGTATTTTCTGGCTCACTTTTGGTGATGTTGTTACATTTTGTCCTTTCCTTAGGATCCAAACAGAAACACACCTCCAATCCCAGCACTCTAGGAGCCTGAGGCAGGAGGATCACAAGCTCAAGCTCAGCCTAGGCAGCTTATTGAATAAGCAAACTGTCTCAAAATAAAGCATGGCTAACTAAAAGAGACTAAGGATGTAGTTAGTGCAGAGGCCTGTGTACTGGCAAAAAGAAAAAAAAATGTAAATTTTGTCAGATAATCTGAGCAGAAATCTATCTTGCCTTTATGGTGATTCAAAAAAATAAATAAACGTGACCTTCTACCATGAATCAATAATAGGATGGGATTTGAAGCAGGGAAGAATTTTTTAGACTAGATTTCATCTTCTTGGAAGTACTGTCTTTTGAAACCAAGAAAGACATATGGGAATACTTACAGGAAATAACTGTTGGAAAACTAATACCCTACCTCATGGAAAACCTTTTAATGATTGACAGATAGGGGATTTAACCCACAAAACAGCTCAGACTGGGGAAACCGTGTCATCGGTGTTCACAGGTCATAGTCAAACTCAACTCATCAACCCTTGGAATTTGTTCCTTTCTCCCCTTCACTATGGTTTTCCAGTTCCTCCAGAGGCAGGAAAGCTAGTTGTTACATAAAGTCCTAAGTTTTAAGAATGATCAGACCATCAATATTGCATACTAATTTTCTTCTAACTTGAAACTACTATTCTCCCTTGCTTCTATATTTATTGACCATGTAGATTTCTTCTTTTGGAAGCATCTGCCTAAGTCTCTTGTCCATTTTCTACTGGGTTGTGACTTTTCCACACTGATTTGCAGGAATTCACACACACACACACACACACACACACACACACACACACACTAAGCCTCTTGGTTTTAAATCTGGAACATATTCTCATGCTTTATCTGTCGTCTCATGATCAGTCCCACTTACTAATCACTAGACTCAGCAATGCTGGACTGTGTAGACAGATGCTGCACTGAATGTGTAGGCAGAAGATGCTCTGCTTTTTTGCAACAAAATATGAGCAAAGCATGGAACAGTGAACAAAAGTAGCCTTTGTGTCTAGACAGTATGTGTAATATAAAATTTATCTGATTTAATAATCTCATGATTTAATTAGATAAGGGGAAAGTAGAAAAAAAAAGTACAGCATTTTTCCCTGGTAGCCTGTAATGTTTTCAGCCTCCCTATTTAGATTACTATAGAAGCACACACAAGTGCTTTTACTCTAGGCAAAAATGAAGTGCTTTAACACAGTGCATCTTAAACTGTAGTGCACAAATCATTGAAGGATTGGCTCAAGTGCATATTTTTATCCAGTAGAACTTAAGTAAGTCATGTTACTATATGCTCACAGTTGTGTTGATATAAAAATCCAAGAATCACACTTAATAAACAATTTTTCATAAGTATTCCATTGTTCTGATATATGAAAGAAGATCTTTGGATCCTGTTTGATTTGCTTGAAAGATGACCAGCTTTGCCTGCAAAGGAAATGCATGTAAATAAAGTGTGCTTGTTGCAATTTTTTAAAACTTAAAATAAAACCCTAATAGTACTGCTGCCAAGAAGCAGAACATGACTGATGAAAATCATCCCCCTACCTAAATCATACATATTCTACATCCAAGAAATGATTCTCATTTTGGTCTACTTTTTAATTTTATAGTGTTCCATCCTTTGCAATGTTTCACCATAAGCTCCTCGCAAATGACCAGCACCCACGGAAAATAAAAATAAAATATACAACAAAACTAGAACAACAAAACTTAAAAAAAACAAGTTTAAGCTATTGTTCACTGTACAGTTTATATGCATCCTCCTAAGTCCTTTCATTTCTTAAGTGGATTCTCTTGCTTTTGCAGGTTTCCATTGGGTGCTTTCCTGAGAAAGTTTCCTGGTGATAGATCACTTCTAGGTGCTGTGTAATTTAGTCAAGATAATCTAGGTAAGCACAGGGCTTAATTATGCATTGCTTGATAATTATATTTAGACTAGGGGTTCTTTACTAGAGTACTATGGATTAGACTGGATCATTTTTTGCAAAGTGATGAAATTATCCTGAGCTCCAAACAAGGATGTTGGCACCAAGTCCCCACTCTCCCTCTCCAGGCAGCAAAACCAAAAGTTTCTCCAGACATGGTCAAATGTCTCCAGGGGGCAAGATTGTCTTCAGTTGAGAATCCCTCTTATTTCTTAATCCTGTTTTCATTTCATTGCATTAAAGTTGTCAGAAAACGTATGTACTCTTCCGAGAATGTTATACACATTTGTACAATTCCTGCAGGAATTAGCCAGAAAAGGCATTAAATTAACTAAAATGTAAGTGGGCATTATTGAACTCTTCACTTGGTGCTGCCTACCCTTACACTGAGAAAATGTGGGCCCCTATTTCCTCCAATTAATAAATCACTTATTCTAGTGCTTATTGTGCTAGAATCCCAACACCACTGGGTGGACAGAAGACCAGAAGGATGAAAAAAGTAAAAGGTTATGATTATGCTCTTCAAGACCAGCAATTCTTCTTGCCTGTATCTGATGTTAGGGTTTTTGTAGTGGGTTAATTTTGTGGAAAACATACAAGGTTGACTCTGAAACGTAAAATACAGCTGAGAGAAAAAAACCTGGGAATCAATGTTATGGTCTGAATCCCAGCTTTTCACATTTGTCTGTGTGAAGTTCATTAAATTAACCTTTTAGAGTTTTAATTGGTTCAATGGAAACAAGTAGGGAGGAATGCTTCGTGAAATGCTAAGCCACTGTGAGGATTAGATAAGAAATATGGCTTAAAGTACCTGCAAGCATATCTTGTATATGTCAGAAGCTTTAAAAAGATGTTCATGTGCATTAAAATGTTTTCATTTATGTAGCGGTACTATCCAGTTTGGGGGCTGAGTTGTCTACTAACTTACATGAGGAGAGACATGTAGGAGACTTGAGTCCATGTCATTTTTGGAAAAGACATAATTCAATGAGGCATAAGAAAAGGTAAAATTATTTAAAGGTATGCAAGATTTTGACATCATCTTAGGTGGAGAAATTGGACTTTTTTTTTGTTATCCATAAAAACACATGATATAATTCTCTTTAATACCAAATGCTATTTCCCTATTTCAAAATCTTTATGCCTCTGTGATACACCCAAAATTTGGAATATATAGCTTTAAAAAAAGCTTATCCTACCTCTGCGGAATATTACTGAACTTAACAAACAATTTCTTTTCTCTAAATATGTCTTTATTTATACATTCATTCATTATCAATTATTATTGAAATTCTCCTGTCTCAGAAATGTCCTAGACACTAGGTTTGTAGAAATAAAATCTATTGATTATGTCAATCAGTAGCACATTTCATTCAGGAAGTAAAGAAACACAAAATATAGTTCTAATTCCAAATAATAAGTAAAAAGAAATGTTGGCAATAAAATAAATAAAAAGAATAATTACATGAGTTGGATCTTAGGTAATCTAAGACTAAAATAAAACATTTTGGAAAACAAAATGGAAATTAGTTGGATGAAACTGGAGTCAGTGGCATTTTAACAGATGGGCTCTGAAATGAAACAAAGAACTTTTTGAACTAAAAATATTTTGAGATTATTGTGGCTGTGGTAGATGATTTTTTATAATACTGAAGAGGCAAAGGTGGTTCATTCTATGTATAATTTAATTAGGTTCTCTATAAAGTAGACATATTTCAAAGATGCAGTTGAACATACAATTTGTCTTGTAAAAAGATGACTCTTACCTCACTAGAAGATTAATGACAAGGCAACAAGAGTAGAAAATTGCAAGCTTAGAAAGTTTGTGTAATATTTTGCTACAGAGATCTTGGTGACATAATAAGATGGTTAACATGGAAAAAGAAACAGAATTAAGATGTACTTTAGGCGTAACATCAAAGGAATTTAGTATAATAGGTTGAATATAGGGAATGAAGAATGTACTTCTGTCAGAATTACATGCATTACCATATTTTCATCTTTCTTACTTTTGCCAGAGATGATTCATGAAGTCTTTATTTTCATTCCTGTTAATTGAGTAAGGGATCTCAAGCAACGTACTGCTTGCTTCCAGTGTTATGAATTTGTCAGTATCCAGAGTGAATAAAATAAGCTTGATGTTAATAGTAATATCTGTGTACAAGGTGATATTAAAAACAAGTGAATGTTTAAATTGTAAAAGTTTATTACAGCCTTACTGACATTAACCACCCTGATTTGAACACTCTTATCCTATTTTTTGACACTTTTTGAAGCAGTTTTGTAAGCCCTCTTTTGTGATTGTCTTTATAAGGTATGATAAACGTATGATGAATGCTACTGCCAAGGAACATGCAATAGAAAGTCAGGCTTGAAAATACATCAGTCTGGCACTGTGCAGCTACTGTCTGGTACTGTGCACCTTCTGGCTCTTCCCCAAAGTTGAATGACCATGAAAGGTAAATGTTTTGAATCAGTTCAAGACACTGAGACAGCCATGACAGCACAACTACAGACATTCACAAAAAAGGACTTCCAGAGCTGCTTCAGAGATTGACGGGAAGGATGAGGTTAAATGTATTTTTGAGTGAGGGGAAATATTTTGATGGGAATTAATGACAGTGTGTCTTTTGCTGTAATAAAGTTTTTATATAAACTTACACTATAGTTTTGGCTCAGACATCATCTGTTTCTGTCAGGTTTTCTAAGCTTTACTTTAAATTATTTACCAAAGATCTCTCGTTTCTTATCACACATCAATGGTACATCTGCTTCTGGCACAGTTTTGCTACAACTATCACTCTGATCTGCCTAGTTTTCACACAATAAACAATTGGGTTCATCAGTGGAGGCACGAGTAGGAAAACATTTGCCATGAGAACATTAATGAGGGGGGAGACATGCCGGACAAAGCGATGGACAATGGCCAGGTTGAAGACAGGCAGATAGAAGATGATCACTGCACAAATGTGTGAAACACAAGTATTGAGGGCCTTGAACTGCTCCTTTCGAGATGCAATTCCCAGCACAGTCTTGAGGATCAAGATGTAAGACCCAGCAATGAGCATAAAATCTACCATAAGACAGACTGCCCCAAAAAAGCCATAGATGACATCAATTCTGTTTTCAGAGCAGGACAACTTCATGACATCTTGGTGGAGACAGTAAGAATGAGACAATTGTCTTTTATTGCAATATTTTAAACTTCTCAAAGTGAAGGGAAAGGGAAGAACCAGGAGGAGGCTCTTAAAGGAGAATACCATTCCTAGTTGGGCAACTCTGACTGATGTAAAGATGGAGCTGTATCTCAGAGGGTTGTGGATGGCTAGGAAGCGGTCAAAGGACATGATCAGGAGGACTGATGACTCCAGTGCTGAGAATCCATGGATGAAGAATTCCTGGGCAAAGCAAGCATTGGCAGAAATTTCAACATCATTAAACAAGAAGATTCTCCACATGGTGGGCAAAGAAGAGATAGACAAGCCCAAGTCAGACAAAGCCAGCATAGAAAGGAAATAGTACATAGGCTCATGTAAGGAGGGCTCTGTCTTAATGATAAAAAGGATGGTGCAGTTTCCCAGAATGGCAATGAAATACATGCTGAAGATGGGGATGGAGATCCAGATGTGTGCATATTCCAGCCCTGGCAACCCAACCAAGAGGAAGGTGGTGATTTCACCCTGCGATGTGTTGATAATAGACATGACTCCAAGAACTGCAATGAAACATGGATACTTGTGTTATTAAACTATGAACTTCCGGAAATTTGGTAAAATATTGATAACTATAAGTATACATAAATAATATTGATAATTGTAGGTAAATATAAATATTGAAATTTATAGCTTCTCAATATCATAAATGACAGAAATTATTTCTGCTCATCTTGTCTTATAGAAAAACTTGATTTAAAATTTGTGTTTAGATATGCATTTTATTTCATTTCCTCCATGTTAGTAAACTTACGGCAATTAACCTGGAGTTCTCTATTATTTCTTGCTTTCAGATACTAATAAGATGTCAGGTGGAACACATAATTTCTAGATTGACATTGTATGTGGGCAAAGGTTATATAAGTCCATTCCTAATTCTTGTAATGCAGGGTTTTAAAGTCAAACTATTTTAGGTTTTTAACCCTGGCTATGTGAAATTATTGATATTTAAACTTTTTTTTCTAAATTCCTGTTATTTTCACATCATTTACGTAATTGAAAGAAAAGTAACTGTGGAGATTACTGACAGATTCTGTTTTATTTTTCCCTGGCCTGGAAATTTGACCTGTTGTTCAGTGAGCAGACTAGAAAAATAATATGAAGTGGTCAGAATCATAATTTAGGAGAATTGGAAAGCTATTGACAGATGAACTTCCAAAAGGTACATGGATTTACTTAGTCTCTGAAAAGAATATTATGCTTTGATCTCTAACTTTTGGATGCCTCTTCCTGCTTTGAATGAAATTCTAGGTGGCTAACTGCCAAAACTAGAAATAACGTGAAAGTCAGAGAGATAGTTTTTACCCGGATACTTACCAAAGTGTATATTTTGTTGGACACTTTTGGAAGAAGTTGAAAAATTCTATTATGAAAGTCCAGTATATTGTTGAATTTATCTTCCACCAAGGGCTCCTTCTGATATATTAGGATTTCCTGTCTTTTCTAATCACTTGCTCTATGATTATTGACTCCTCTTGGGGTTTGCAGCCAAGCTGGACCTGTTCTGAGAATAATAGTAAACAGTTGCGGATTCAGTAAATCCACGGAGATAGTTGTGACCAAGGAAATGAAATAAGCATTTGGACTGTAAATATAGGAATGTTAACAACCAGGTGTTGGAAAGAGAGGATAAATTCGTGTGGAAGATACAATACTTCTGTTGGATCGTTGGCTTAGGAACTACTGTTCTACTCAGGGAAGAGTGTAAAAACACAAGCTTTACGTCAAATTTGTGCATTCAAAGATGTATTGTAAGGAAAAACACCCTAGGATATACATTTTCAGTTTAGACTTTTCTCTTAAATTCTGAACTAACTTTCCAGGTCCTCTGGATAAAACTAAGTAAATAATGCTTAAAACTAAAATGTGAGAGATAGATTTAATTCTTTTTTCCCAAGTCTCCCTTTTTTAAGACAATTGTCACATTAATCAACACTTATGCTTAAGAGCTCACAAGCCAAAAAATCTGAGCCCTTCTATTTCACATATTCCACATAGCTACTATTTATTGGAAATTTAAATAGTTTTACTTAATGAGTTTCAGTGGGAGATAATGCTTTTGAATCTTATAATCATTTAAATAATGGTACATAATATTATTTGCATTTTATTTATGAGAAAAGTGCTTCTCGAGATCAAGTGGTCTATCCAAGATTACATAAGGGTTGTATGGTAGAAATAAATACAGGAAAACAAGTTTGTCATATTCTTTATACTGTGGTACCTTGGCTCACAAACTTAATTCCTTCCATGATTCTGGATACAAAGAATTACATGAGAACAGAATCAAATTTTCCTATAAGTTCAACATTGAACCCAGCCATTGAGTTAGATTTGGTTCTCATTTAATTTGATTTGAGACTTGAATGGTGGAAAGAATTAAATTTTGAACTGAGGTATCACTATATATATTGTCATCAGGGTAGTTGATATTTGGGGAATCACTATTTTAATGGATGGTTGGATTTCTGTATTATTTTCAGCATTCTAAACTGATTATTAGAATGGGCAATTTTGGTAACAAAAAGAAACAAAAATATAACTATACACACAAATCAAAAAATAGTGTGTTGATCAAGAGAAGCCAAAAAAATGACAAAAACAGATACTATATATTTCAGTTTATTTTAAGTCTATAAATAGTCAACCAGTATTTTATGGTAATGGAAATCAAAAAGAAGATATATTAGGGAGACAATAGAGGTGGAAAGAGTAGCAGAGGGGAAATTGTGAGTGATGGAAACATTCTACAACTTATTTTTCATGGTGGATATACAGTTGTGTACAATTGTCAAGATGCTAACTAAACTTAATAACAATAATAATATATTTTATACTTTTAAAATTCAGAGAGCAAATACAAAGTGTTCTCACCACAAAAATAACTATGTGAAGCAATACATTTGTTATTCATTAATTTAACCCTTGCAAAATGTACATATACTTCAAAACATCAAATTGCATATCAAAAATATTATGTTATCTGTAAATTAAATAAACTCAAAATTATATGAAGGTTAAAAAATAAACTTATTACTAGTTATTTGTAGGGGGTAATATGGAACATTGGTGTACCTTGGCCAAAAAGAAAATAATGCGACTCTAGGGATCCTGAGGAAAGTCTGTTTAGAAGAAAAACTAGATATTAATTTTCATTAATATATAATCTTTTAATGTAAGTTAATATTGAATTGAATAAGATGAGAAAACTGCAAATACCCTACTTTTGCATTCATTTTGAAAATGAGCCCCTTTCCTCCTTAATTATGCTGCCAAGAATTTTCTCCTTTCATTCTCTTTCCTTCTGAGCTTTTTCCAGGTGTTTTTCATTAAAAGGATAGTGAAATGTGTGTGTGTGTGTGTGTGTGTGAGAGAGAGAGAGAGCGAGAGAGAGAGGACTTTATCTCAGGAATTTCCCAAGAGTATGTGGTTAATTTCCAATAATTATTAACATAGCTTGTCCCACTGGCATAAATATCAATAAAACCACATGATCATATCAAGTTAAAATTTGTATTTGTTTTTTGATTTTTGGTACCAGGGATTGAACTCAGGACCTTGTGCTTACAAAGCAGATGGCAGAACCACTGAGCTAATTCCTCAGCCCAATAGTTAAAATTTTTAATCACAAAACCTCTAAGGAAATCAGAAGTGAAACTAACAGTATAATTATAGCTAATTTTATGTTATTTATCTACTGCAGCTAATTTTATTTTAATTTAAAATTGAACATTGTCTTCTTAAGTTCAGAAAAATTCAAAGGTGTTCTCCTTGATGATTGTTTAATAATCTGCAACAATGCATAAGATTCTAATAAGATTACTGACATTTAGAAATGGGAACAAAGGAGCTAAAGGTGTAGGGAAGGTGGGATGGGTAGGGGAAGAGTAAAAAGGGAAAAGAAAAAAATGTGAGAGAATGAAAAGATGAAAATAAAGTGTTTGTAGATGGGGAGGGGAGGAGGGGCTGAAGGAAGGGCAGAGGTAAGGGAAAAAAATGAGGATCAAGACTTGTCATGTAGAGGTACAAAATCCCAACAATGAATGTAACTGTACTGTATCCCTAAAATGTACCAATAAACTCAATTAAAGCTGAAAAAAAATAATTATAGTAGATACCCAAGATTGCATAACAGAGAAAAATATGAAAAGTAAAAAAGTTAAAACACAAAGTAAAAATATCTCTATTTGTAAATGATGGGTTTGAGTAAAATCTATAAACATTATTAATAAATGACCTATCTAACTATTTGGGTAACAATTCTCCTAGCATCCTTCATTCTTACCACCCTCTTCCTCCCCTTTTCACCTCTAGCTGTCACAAGGCTTTTTTTTTAGCACTAGGGATTGAATCCAGACCTTTACATTCACCTATATCCCCAGGCCTTTTTATTTTATTACATTTTATTTTGAGGTGGGGTGTTGCCAGGTCACTAAATGGTCCATGCTGGGCTCAAAATTGTGCTCCTTATCCTTCCAAAGTGTAGGTTACTGGCATATACCACAATTTCAGACTTGGAATTTGGTTCTTAAGTCCCATGCACTGTTCTCTATAAATCTGTAAGGTTAAAATAATAAAATATGAAAAATAAATTGAGAAAGATTGGCTGGATATACCATCATATAAAACTCAAATCTAGCATCCTGGAAAATTTGAAATTAAAATTTTAAATGCCATTATTATTTCAGAAGCATAAAAGCATAAAAATAAATTGTATTAAAACATTTTGAACATTTGTGGACTCTTATCTTTAAAACATTGGCAAATTTTTCAAAAAGCCTTAGATAGATATACCTTATCCATTGATTGAAAAGCTCAATATTAAAAAGTAAATTCTTCTCAAAATAATATCCTGATTCATCATAGTTCCAATCAATTTCTAGTAGGTTTATTATGAAAATTGACAAGTTCATTGTGAATTTTATATGAGAATACAAAAGACCTAGAATAGAAAAAAAAGAAAAATTGAATTACAACCTTAGACTTTATGAACTAATATAATACTTATTAAGATTTGTGGAATTGACAAGAAAAGACAAGTAGATTAATGTAACAAAACACACAGAGAGATATATAGATAGATAGACAGATAGATAGATTCCTTTTATTTGTGGCAATTGTACCAATTATATTAACAGCCTTTTCAAGAAAAGGAGCAACTTATACAAAAAAAGAGAAAGAATCAGGTCTTGAGATTTGACATAAAATACTTTGAGTAGGACAATCCTTTTTGTGTAAAAGAGAAGTTGAAATATCATCTTCATGAAATTGGGATAACCATGGACACAACAAGATTAGCCCTAAAGATAAAAGAATTCAACAATCAGAATTAATGAACAGAAAGAACTTTTATGAAATTTTCACCCATCTATTGAGAGTATTCTCCTTATATATCACTGACAAAGTATATTTAAAGAGCTACTAAAAATCAATAAGTAAAAATAGGATAAGAATGGGGTGTGCACTTGACTGGTATTGTTCAATTCACATTCAGGAGT